ATAATTTTTTAGTATATTACTTGTGTGGTGTAGAAGATAATTATTTATGTAGAGATACTGCTTGCAAACCAATGATGGTAAGATGATGTCATGGGGTAGGACTGGATAAGTCTGACTTCTTCCTACTCCATTCAAGCATGTACTAGGTATAAGCACATTGATATTGGATTAGCATTTGTTGGATATGTGTAAAATTATGTGTTGACATATCAACTGTCTTTACATGCTTGAAAGAATAAATCAAATCAAAAAAATCAAATCAATCAAATCAAAATTCTAGTATTGTGACAACAGCAGATTGACGTACATTCTTATGTACCAGTGTTTCACCTAATTTGTCTTTAGTTTGTGTTCATTATGAGAGAATTACCTCCATTTGTGTTATCACTAGACACACTCGAATGCAATAATTGCAGCAGATGCCATATTGCATTGAGAAGCCTTGCTTTTAAACACAATTAGTATCCTAATCCTTAGCCTGTAACCAATAGACTTGCCTAATTTGAGCATTTAACTGTGCACTTGTTTCTTTATTCAGTAATCACAGCCCCCCCTTCCGATACACTTTGCCAGGCTAAACTGATAATCAACTTTTTACCTCTGATTTTATAACTTAGACTGGACATTTCAAAGAGCAACAGTGTCCAAATAATATTGCTGCTCACTTGTTTTACAGCAGGCAGTTATTCACACAGTGGCACTCTCTCGAACTGCCAATATTCTTTTTGTCATTTGCTGTAATAGGGGGGGAAAAGACACAGCTGTATTGCTCACTTTTAATACCACTGTTAGACAATGGAACAAAAGCCCTGGATCTGTGTACTATTACATAATGTTTTTACAAACAGTCGGCACTTGACAGCATTTCAGTATTTGATGAATTCACCATTTCCCTTAACAGTCGTACTCATAAATCCTCTGACAAGCACAGATAATGTGCACTAATCAGTGAAAGGTAAGATGCATTCAGCTTCTCTGCGAACAGCTCTCAGCGCAACAACCCAGTCATCAGTGTTTGATGTATTTTC